GGGGTTGTACACCAATGAAAGAATTTTTCTTTTACTTTTCAAAGAGAAGAGCGAACTGGTGGGGAGGGGTGGTCAGGGAGAAAAATGCAACAATGAACGGATGGAAATCCAAAATCTCTGTAAACGTTCATTAAAATTAATAAAATAAAATTTTAAAAAAGAAAAAGAATGTCTGTGTTTTATTGACTATGCAAAGGTGGTATGGATCATAACACATTGTGACTAACACTGAGAAAGGGAATCCCAGAAAAATTAATTGCCCTCAAACAAAATATACATGTAGACCAAGAAGCTGCTGCCCAGAGCAAGGGAACACTGCATGGTTTAAAATCAGGAAGGGTATGCACCAGGGATGTATCCTTTCTCCATACCCAATCTATATTCTGAACAAATTAATTCATGAAGTTGACTCTATGAAGAGGAATGTATTGAGTCTGGAGGAAGACTCAAGAACTTACGTTACTTAGATGGCAAATCTTTCGCATGGAAAGTGAAGAGGACTTATAACATTTGCTGTAGATGCTCAAGGACTATAGCCTTCAATACAGATTACAACATTAGGAAGAAAAAACTCCTCACCACTGGTAGGCAACATGATAGAGAAAGACTGAAGTTGTCAATGATTTCATCTTGCTTGGATCATCAAAACTGTTGGTACCAGAAGTTAGATCCGGAGATATATTGCATTGGGCAAGTCTGCTGTAAAGAGTCTCTCCAAAATACTGAAGAGTAATGATATCAACCTGAAGACTAGTGTCCCTGATTCAGGCCATGGTCTTTTCAATCTTGTTACCAGTCTGAGAGTTGGACAATAATTGGAAGAACTAATGCTTTTGAGTTGTGGTATTGAAGAGTAATGAATGAATATCCCATGGACTGCCAAATGAACAAACTGATGTGTTTCATGAAGGGACAGCTGGAGTGCTCCTTGGAGTAATGGATGGTAAAGCTTCATCACTCATACTCTGGGCATGTTGCTAGGAAACACTATTCCTTGGAGAAGGGCTTCATGCTCGTAAAGATGGAGGGTCAGCGGAAGAGAGAATACCCTCCACGAGATGGATAGACAATGAATGACTGCAGCAATGGCTCAAGTGTGTCAAGAGATGAAGAGGATGGTGCAGGACAGAATAGGGTTCAGGTCTGTTGCTCACAAGGTCACTGTGTCATACCTGACTCGAAGGCACCTACCACAATATGGTTGGTAGATGGTGACTGAAACAATGGACTCAAGCATATTAAAGATTGTGAGGATAGAGCAGGCAAGATTAAGATTTCTTGCTCATAGGGTCGCTGAGTTATAGTTGACTTGACAGTACCTAATAGCACAACATGGTTGATATGTGCCCTTTTGTGAGAATGGCATGGATTAATATTTCCTAATTTTATAGTCAGAAAGGCTGAGCAAAGAGTAATCTCGGAAAAATTGTAAAGATCCTTAAAAATGGAAATATGCATTACAAGCCAAAATTTATGTGTAGTAGTTTCCTCAAGTAAAGGAACCAACTATTGATGAAAACCTGCAAAGTAGACGAGGAGAGGTGTTAAGATCCATTTAATGCAGGTAAAGCAGAATCCCAGAACACTTGATCGTTCTAATGCAAAACTTATACTTGGACCAAGAGGCAGTCATCAGAACAGAGCAAGGGAACACTGCATGGTTCAAAATTGGGAAGGGCGTACGCCAGGAATGCA